AGGTTAGCTATCACTGCTCTATAGAATTGGATAAAAGGCAAAAGTTGTGGGATAGAAATTATAAATTAACAATGTCTACTGCATACAAAGAGAACTTATACAAAATGTTTTACAGATGGCACTTCCCACCAGCAAGATTAGCTAAGATGTTTAAAGATATATCTGCTAAATGTTGGAAGTGTAATCAGATTCTGGGCTCATACTACCACACGTGGTGGACATGCCCAAAGGCAAAAGCATACTGGAGAAAAATAAATACTTGAATAGAAAAAATGATAAAGGAACATATAGATAAAAGAGCCTTGGTGGCACAGCAGACTAAAGCACTGTTAAGATTAACACCAGCTGCCTGCAATTATTGCAAGTTCAAATCTCACCAGGCTCAAGGTTGACTCAGCCTTCCATCCTTTTGAAGGTAGATAAAATGAGGACCCGGTTTGTGGGGGCAATAAGCTGACTTTGTATAAAAAAGAACACTGCTAACACCGCTTTGGGGGGGGGGGGGCGAAAGCCCTACTAAGCAGGTATATACAAAAGTATGAAGGCTATTGCTTAACGCATTGTAAGCAGCCCTGAGTCTCCGGAAAAGGGCGGCCTATAAATCGAACCAATAAATAAAATAAATATAGATCTAAAACCAGAAATATTTCTGTTGGGTATCAACCAGAAAAATATAATAAAGGGACTATGTATCTAATACTACATGTGTTACCAGCAGCTAGAATTGTATTTGTACAACATTGGAAAAGTGTGGAGATCCCTACAGAAGAGAAGATAATTAAAAAAAAATACTAGAATGTGCAGAAATGGATAGATTAACACTTGAAATTAAAGAGAAGAAAGACACGGAGTATTTTGAAATATGGGATTTGTTTTATCAATGGCTAACTAACAGAAACAGAAGTTAGAACGTTTAAAATTATAAGAGAAGGACTAATTTTATTATGAGGGCTTACTACATCTTGGCTTAAATCCCATTTTAAAATCCTCCAAAATCCCAACAAAACACTTTGTAAGGTCTTTTGAAACTCTGGCTAAAATCCTAACCAACACTTTAGAAGTTTTCTTTTTGGCAACGTTTCGACAAGCTCTCTAACTTTCCCCTACTTTTAGCTGACCCAAAGCTTCTAAACTAAAAGTAGGGGCCTGATGATGACAAGTTAGAGAGCTTGTCGAAACGTTGCCAAAAAGAAAACTTTTAAAGTGTTGGTTAGGATTTTAGCCAGAGTTTCAAAAGACCTTACAAAGTGTTTTGTTGGGATTTTGGAGGATTTTAAGATGGGATTTTAGCCAAAATTTTAAGTATTTCAACTAACAGACTTTTAATGACGCGAGAAAACACCCGAGATTTTAACTTTTTACACACACACACGCACACACACACACGTGCATGTGCGAGCAAAGCGTGATCGGAGATGCCATCTCTCTATAAATACTGCTGGGGAGGTGTGGAGTGCTGGCTTTGTTGTTGTAAGTGGGTTGGTTGGCTGTACTGTTACATCTTGATTAGTTGATGGAGTTGATGTTTGCAGATTAGTCGGCTGTTTCGTAACATCAATGGTAAGAATGCTGGATATCAACTTGACATTGGAGCTGGGTTGATATTAACTATGCTTCCCATATAGACACAGTTATTGTGAGGTTCGGTATTTCTCCTCGTGAGTTGCAAATCTTGTTGTTGTTGCTCCGCTATCTTGATTGCCAGTGTTCCTCTGCTTTTGATCTAAGATTGACGTTTCTTCAAGAGGGCGTGGACTCTGGCTTTCCTTCTCCTTGTCTAGTTTCCTATTGGGTGGTTAATTTGGACTTGTACTATTAAGTCCTGTTGGATGTCCCTTTCCTTCTTTTTTTGGGGGGGAGGGGCTGGTCACTTTTTATTTATTAGGACTTGAGTGCTTTCAGAAGCCGAACTTGATAGCAATTCCACAGAGGAGCTACCAGAAGGAAGCAAAACATTCACACTTTCTGTTGCACTAGTTGCCGATTTCAACATTTGATTACCATATTTTCCAGCGTATAAGACGACTTTTTAACACATGAAAATCTTCTCAAAAGTCGGGGGTCGTCTTATACGCCGGGTGTCGTTTTCCTGTAACCAGGCAGACCAGCCCGAAGGACTCTGACGAGCCTTAAATGGCTCTGGCGATCCAAGCTTTGCCTGCTAATCAGGCAACTCAGCTGGGATGCCAGAGCCATGTAAAAGGAAAAAACTTTTTTCCTTTTATGTGGCTCTGCCAGCTCTGATGATCCCAGCTGAGTTGCCTGCCAATCAGGCAACGCAGCTGGGATCGCCAGAGCCCAGAGCCCTGTAAAAGGAAAAAAGTTTCCCCCCTCCAGCTTGCTTACCTTAGCTGCTAATCGCAACGCTTGCCTTGCTTCGCTTGCCTGAATCCATTCCATCAGCAAGCCACTCCCTGCCTGCAATCAAGCAGGCAGGAGTTGTGGACTTCAACTCCCAGAATTCCTCAGTCAGCAAAACAAAGTTGGCTGAGGAATTCTGGGAGTTGAAGTCTACAAGTCTTAAAGTTGCCAAGGTTGGAGACCCCTGTTCTATTGGGTAAGTTTTTTTCCCCTTTGGGAGCTTTAAAAAAAATAGTTAATTGGGGTTTTTTTTAGTTGTTCTTTTTTAGACCTAGCCATTTAAAGTTTAGGAAGTTTTAAATTTAGTTTTCATATAAAAATAAAAATAAAAATAAAATAATATTTGTGTAGCTTTCTGAGATTTAGTGTGTTTCTGTAGTGTTTCACTCTAACTACACAAACACACAAAATCTCACAAAGCTGTATGTGGAATTTTGTACGTGTAAAGTGTGAAAGTTGTTTTTTGGGGCTTTTTGTGGCTGTGTGAGGTTCCTGCTTGTTGCAGGGGCGATTTTGGGTCTAGCACAGCTGCTTTTACATTGTGGGTGAGCCAGTTGATGTTTTTTAATTTTTATTTGGTGTGCGTTGGAAGAGGGGTAGTCTTATACGGTGAGTATAGCCCAAACCCTATATTTTAACAGGAAAAGTCGTGGGTCGTCTTATACGCCCAGTTGTCTTATACGCCAGAAAATACGGTAATTATTTCAATCTTCTTTAGTATCAGTTCTTGGTCTCCTGGGCAAAGGGTGGCAAATTGGTGGATTAGTTCTTCCTCCTCATCCATGAACTAAAGCTTTCTGTTGTGTAGGTTTAAATATTCTTTTTTATTGTCCTTATCTTTTTCTAACCTTGTTAGTTGAAGGCTTGTTTGTTTGGCTGTTAGTATTTTGGAATTCCCAAGGTTGATGTCGACCTCCTTCACTGTCTTGGCTCTCTGCCCAGACTTTAACAGGGATTGAATTTGGGTGGTGTGAAATATCCATCTTGGCCAAATACAGAGTTTCTTTAGTGAGGTTTCAAGCCTGAATAACATTGATGGCAGAACAATCTGCCCAAAGGTTAGCAATATTCTTTTGCAGTCTTGTCTGTTGGGGAGCCAAGAAATCTCTGTTAGCTCATTGGAATATACCCTACAGTGTAAGAGTTGGGATAGAGAGATCAAAACCACTTTCCTATTATGCCATCTGCCCCTGTTCAGAGGGGTGTTAGCAACTTGGAGTAAGAGCCTGTGTCTCCGTAAGACCAGCTTCTCCATCATATCCTATCTGTCCTGAGGCCCCCAGTCCACAAAGGCTGGCCAAACATTATGGGTAAGGTTTGGAGTCTGGGCTTTGCTGTTTACTTTTTTGTTGCCTGACTATCACAAGTCTATTAAAAAATACTTATACTGAAATAGTAAAAAGTCCAAACAATCTTATCAGTCCTGGTTCATTGATAAAACCAAAGAAGGAAATCATTCCTGATGTTGCTCCTCCTCCATGATAATCTCAGCATATAAAAGCATATAAAAAATTAAAATTTAAAAAGGAGGCAAGGGTGATTAAACTCTGTTAAAATTAGTTTAAAAGGCCTAGAAAAATAATTGAAATATTAAAACATTAAAGCTACATAGATTAAGATTTTAAAAACTATACTGAGACCAGCACTTACATTTTCACTCCTCATAGCTCATATCTATTTTATTTTTTATAAAATAATATTTTATATTATTTTATAAAAAATAAAATAAATATTATAAAAAATATTTTTTTATAATATTTATTTTATTGCCTGCACCTTAATACGAAAAAGAATTGATATGAGTTTTATTTCCCCTTTCATGCAAAAAATATAAAAGTTTATAATTTTCATTGTGTAAGAATTCCACAGTTACTAACATAAGAATGAGAAAAATATTAAATTATATAATTTTCAACACAAGAAGAGTAATGAATTTCCCTTAACTTTATTAACTGGAGGCATTAAAAAGAAATATATTTATTTATTAAACTAGTTTCTCATGCTGTCTTGTTTCCTTTCACATGTTATTACAAAACCCTTCAATAAATTCATATGCCAGGATCTTATGAGACCAAACATATGATAAATATAAGTTAGTTTATTCCAGTTGCAAGTTTGTTCACCCTACATGCTATTAACATGTTAATAGGTTAAATGTGTATTAATTTTTATAAATATTTTCTGAATTAGAAAGTTATTTTTAGCTGCAAAACTTCAGTCTTAACAAGAAAACCCAAAGGTGCTTTTTCAAAAGACAACTGGACTTTCTTGTTTTTCTTTGAAGATGTTCTACTTCTCATCCAAGAAGCTTTTTCAGAACTGAAGAAGCTTCTTGGATGAGAAGTGAAATGTCTTCAAAGAAAAACAAGAAAGTCTAGTTGCCTCTTGAAAAAGCATCTTTGGGACAACTATGATCTGGATGACTGAGAATCTCCATAGACACCTAACAAGAAAACACTGAATAATATGGAAAAAATAGTTTCAGTAACTTATTTACTATGAATTAATAAATGTCTTCATTGTCTTTATTTACCAAGTTAGATAACTCACTGTTATAACTAAATGAAGGGAAAAATATCATTTCAATATACATAAAAAATTCTGAGAAGCGGTTTATTTATATTGAACATGTTCCCTACCTAGTGAAGCATATGATCCTGGAGGTAGACCAGCAGTTGCTAAGCGACCAGTTCCCGATGGCTGACTGATAGCATGACGTGCCTTTGCCCCAGAGGCAGCATTAACATCAATGTCACTGCAAGACCTCTGCAGTGTTCCTAGGGTCGGAGCAGCTTTGCTGCCACTTGAAACTGAAAAACAGGAAACTGCATATCAAGATTCCCACCTCATGCTGATACTTTAAAAAGTCCTCAAGAGATTTACCTGTTACTTCTAAAATTTCTACCTGGCCTTGTACATTGAGCAAATTACCTCTGTTAGCCATACTTGCAGAACTGGAGGTGGACCATTTTGAAGAAAAGGGACGACTGAAAGAAAAGCAAAACAATAGTTTTTGTAATTTTTGGGGGGGAAAATCTTGGAATACCTTCCTGAGCAGCTCAATTCAGTGTCACATTTTCACAAAACCTGCTATAGACTTTCACATAATTCTAATATTGAATGTGCACTGAAAGATAGGTCCCATCTAAATAAGGCAGTGAGGATATGTTACATTAAAAATACATTTTTATCTGCAATAATATGTGGAAATAGCCTTGGAAGGCAGGAGTAAGAGCTGTAGACTAGGCAAAGGTCAGATAAGAGGCAGCTTCCAAAGGACTGTGGACAAATGATTCAGAAGAGACTCTCCCTAATTTCTTTTGGATGTAAAGGAAAGTGGTGAGAAATGTACTTTCAGATTTACAATATTTTGTTAAAGCAATCTGTTAATGAAATAATAAAGTTAGAGCTGCTATCTCTGGGTGTGCCTCTTGTCTAGACTTCCTTGCAAGATAGACAATATTAAAGTTTCTTATTCTGCAGGTGGAAATAAATTCAAGAAAAAGGCCCTAATCTGAAGCAGACTTTATACAGATCTTGTGGGCAGAAGTATTTTTCTTCTAGACTGATACTTACTTTAGACTTTCTTGTGAGCTGGAAGATGACCTGTCTGATTGTGGAAGTGATGCAATGCTACCAGAATTCTTTAAGTAAGTCTGGAGACTTCTTTGATAGGATGGTTCAAGACTATTATACAGAACTTCTGCCTCACCAGGAAAATGATTTCTTAGGCCTAGATAAGTCCTAAAAGAAATCATATAAAATTTATTAGAGGAAGGAAAATATTTCTGGAAACAGAAACAATCTTCCAACACTAGTAAAACAAAAAAGTTTTTAATATTTTAAAAAATGAGAAAACTCTCAACATCACAAAGCTGTGAGTCCAACCATAGCTAGAATGGAAAAGAACCATAACTATAAACATATTATTATGTATGCTCCCTGGAATTATTGTATGGTAGTGGGTGGTCACATAAATCTATTTATTTGTTTATTAAATAAATTTATGTGACCGTCCAACTAACACACAATGACTCCAGGCGACATATAACATTAAAAATCAACAATATGTATAAATCCCAGAAACTCCTCTCCTAAATTTGCGGGCTATTCTTTTCTGCTAAAAAGTATCAATACTTTCAAAATTACCGTAGTTAGGCCAAACTTTGAATTAATCTTACTTTCGTGCCTCCACTCTTGCCTCAGCATCAGCATCATGAATGCCCTTCTTGATAGTTTCAAGCAGAACAACTGCATGCCTGTAAGAGAAAATCAGAAATAAATATTACTTCTAATTTATCTTAACTTTATCAGAGGAGTTGCTGTTTCTTGAAAAAGCTAGATAATGAATGCAAAAAAGTTCTGAGAAGAGAGTAGCACCTGACCAGCTTTACCCAGATCCAGATGCTAATTGGCTCTAATTAGTACTTGGACTAATATGGACAATGAAACTGATTTGATTATTTGTCTTGGGCCACACATAAAAGAGTACAATATCTCCCTGTTTTTGGGCAACATTGGGAAAAAACTAGTGAGTAGATATAATAAAATCTTGGAGTCAAGATACGTCTACTCTGAGTTCTGCAGGAAATCTGGAAAAGAATTTAGAAGTTCTTGGTTTACACGAGGACAAGGATTATGGATTGAAATTCTAGCAAAATAGCAATTCTGCAACATATCATAGCAGATAGAATTAATGTTAATATGTTTCTGTTAGAGATAATGGGAGAATGGTGAAATATCTAGTAAGATCTTGGTTAAAACAAAACAAAGATAAGGCAATGATCCCAACTATTAGGGGTGAAAGAGATGAAATCCATAACACTTTAATGGATGTAAATTGTCAATTTTTAAAATTTGATTCAGACTTGTATAGTAATCTAGAGAATGTATTGAATGAAGATATTTAGTCTTTTTAAAAATATAATTAAGCTACCTCATGTAGATTACAAAAACAACTTGGATTTGCTCCACTATCTGAGGTAGAAGTTAAACAAATAACTTTTAAAAGGGAAAGTAGCAAAACACCAGAATTAGATAGAATCCCTATTGAGATAGTAATCATTAATTAATGAGGGTGGATATCTTAGAAAGGAAATGAAAAACAAAGATTAACCAAAAAAAAGAATAATTGACAAGGATTAATGTGATCTTGAGTCAGCTAGGAAAGGAATGGTATGTAGATATGAGTGTGCAAAAATTATCTTCCAAGAAATATTCTTTGCCTATCACTCACAAAAATTAGAGCTGAGCTTAACTGCTACCATTCAAAAATAAATTTGAATTTCTATAAAAGTAATGTTTCTCTTTAGAAGAGAGGATTTGTTACAGATCTAATGTTTTGAATGCAAAAAGTAATTTTAGCACTATATTTGATTGAGATGATCATTATCACAAATGTGATTTCATAGTTTATTAAGAGATGCTGTTAAAATTAGAGTGCCTTCGGGTAAGCCAGTTATAACAAATTTGAAATGATAACAACACCATCAAACAACATCTGCCTATCCCAAAACCTTGTGAAGAATGCCAAATCTATTCTAAATATCTGGTTGACTGTACAATCAATCATAATAATAATTCGCAACTGCACTGATTCCTCTGTCAATAATACTGAACAAGTCAGACCATGGCTACTAAACATCAAAAACATCTGCCAAACTATCCCACCTCCTTTTATATGGATGAGCTGAAACTGTAGAAAAACACAACCTGAAATAGAATCACTGCTCAATTTCCAAATATACAGCCAAGATATTACAATGGAGTCTGGACTAGACAAATGTGCCACCTCACTAGTAGAGAAAAAAATAGTGAAAACTGAAGGAATCAAGGTGCCCTATGGAAATAACGTCAAGAGTCTGGATGCAAACTATCACTACAAATAGCAATAGCAATAGCACTTAGACTTATATACCACTTCACAGTGCTTTACAGCCCTCTCTAAATACCTAGGCATCCTTCAAGCTGACAATATCAAATACACCAAACAGATTAGAAGATTAGAAGTGAATGCATCATGCAAGTGAAGAACTACTTAATATCCAAACTCAGTGGCAGAAATACGATCAATACAATTAACACCTGAGCAATCCCAGTAGTTAGATACATAGCTGGAATTATGGACTGGACTGAAGCAGAACTAAAAGTCCTGGATAGGAAGATAAAAATATACTTAAAATGAATCACGGCCTTCATGCCCACAGCAATATTGATCCACTTTACTTACGAAGGAAAATAGGTGGCATGGAATGTTGCAAGAACACCAGATAGCTGAAGAAAAAAAAAAGGAGGGGGCACTTTGGAAGAATATCTGCAGGATAATGAAGAAGATACACTGAAGCTTCTATACAGTGAAAGCTTTCAGAGTACTCTAGAGAGAGCAACCTGCCTACTAGAAAGATAAAATGAAGACCAGAAAAGAGAGATGGCAGGGCAAAACATTTCATTGCCAGTACATTAAAAATGAGCATTAGAAAAGTGTGAACAATCCACTGAAGCCAATACATGGGCAATACATAAAAATAGCAGGCAAAGTAGATAATAACAAGACCTGACAATAGCTAGAGCAGGAAAGTTGAAGGAAGAGACTAAGGCCACACAAGACCAAGCCTTAAAGCAAATGTGTACAAAGTCAGAATTGAGAAGGCAGTACAGACATCAAATGCCGCTTCTGCAAAGAAACTGAAGAAACAGTGGACCACCTAGTTAGCTGCTATAAGCAAACTACACAGACTGATTAAAACAACGGCATGACAAAGTAGTAAAAATGGTACATTAGAAGATGTACAAAAAACACCATTTGCCCTTAAGCAAGAAGTACATCCTAGGCAAAAAAAAAAGTCTGGATAGTAGACACAGCAGTACCTGGAGACAGCAGATAGAAAAGAAAGAACTGGAGAAAATCACAAAGTACAAAATTTGCAAATAGAAGTAAAACAACTAAAAAAACATTTGGAGCATTGCTTGAACAGCATCGGCATTAACAAAATCACCATCAGTCAATTGCAAATGGCAGCTTTACTTGGAATAGCTTACAACCTATGACAATACTTTTAACACCATCAAATTACAACATCTGTCTATTCCAGATCCTTTGGAAGGATTAGATAGGTGGATAAAAATGCCAAATCCAATCTAAACTGACTGTGTGACAACCACAATAATAAATTAACATTACCAAACAACATCTTTCTATCCCAGTTCCTTGGGAAGGACTCAACAGGTGGAATCTTAATTCATTCTAAACATCTGGCTGACTGTGCAACGAAACATCATTATATCACAAAATACAAAGACTTGCAAATAGAAGTAGAATGACTGTGGAAAAAGAAAACAAGTTAGTACTAATAGAAATGGATGCCTTGGGTGCAATTCCAAAACACATAGAGCACCACTCAAACACCATCAACATTAACAAAGTCATCAGTCAATTGCAAAAGGCAGTTTGGAACAGCTTACATTCTGAGACAAAAATGCCAAATCCAGTTTAAATATTTGACTGTGTGATCAACAATAATAAATTATATAAATTATTTTTTCTTTTTGCAGGAGGTATAAAAAGCTGAATCAACCAGTACAAAAACATTTTATTACTTCAATGAACCTGCATAAACTAAATTAATCTAAAAGCTGGAAAGATTATCAGGAAAGTATAAATTATATGGAAAACTGCTAAATGCACTCCAGTAACATATAGAATACTACTTCTGTTCCTGTTAGCAGTACAATTCAAAATTGACATATTTGGGGCAATATCTGTTCCAAAACGTTTTCCTGACATATTTAATTATTTAATTAAAACTACACAGAGAAAGGTGCTATTTTAAGAAGCAACTGGACTTTTTTTTTTTTTGGAAGACTTTACACTTCTCATCCAAGAAGCTACTTCAGCTCTGGCTGGATGGTGGGGAATAGAAGGATTTATACTCCTTGCAGACAGCTGGTCAGTTGTATTCTTTTAGAGTTGTTGAGGCCACCTGAAGGTTTATCTGTGTCATCAGGGTCATCTGAGTAGTGCAAATGGGCGTGGAGCCTTATTGGAACTGTGGAAAAGACTGTGTTGTATACTGGAGATAGATGATGTTGTATCTCTCCCCCTCTGTTGAGAGAGGGCTGTTCAATTTTGACATAGATGGCCTCTTTGACCTCTCTTTCAAACCAGCAGTCTTCTCTGTCAAAAATGTGGACTTTGCTATCTTCAAAAGAGTGGCCTTTGTCTTTTAAATGCAGATGGACTGCTGAATCTTGTCCTGATGGGTTTGTTCTCCTATGTTGTGCATGTATAAAGTATATGATGTGGTTGTTTTGCTTCCCCAATGTACAGATCTTCACATGGCTAACTGCATTGTATTGCATATGCCACATTGCTCAGCTTGTGACCAGGTGTTTTATCCTTGGGGTGGACAAGCTTGAACAAAACCGCAGAAAATTCAGTTGCCTCTTAAAAAAACACCCTTGGGACAACCATGACCTGGACTGAGAATCTCCATAGACATTTACACAGAGAAAGCTGATATATTTATTTTCCATATCCTTTCTCTATCAATGGAAGAGAAAATAGAGAACAGTTAAAGGAAAAGAAGGTAACAAACAAAGCTTCCAATGTTAAGTTTGAGCCACCCAGAGTTGGAATGCTCTTCTAGTACAGAACATTTTTTCATCAGATCACATACGTGGTTCTGAATAAATATCATACCAACTACAGTACAGTTTACCATTACAATTTAAGGCAATTGAAATATATATTTGAAACAGTGCTCACAGACTGCTTTTGCAAATACTCTTTCATTAAACTTTTTCAAATACTTTTCATTCATGCAATAATATGAACAATTCTCTCTCTCTCTCACACACACACACACTCTCTCACACACAAATACTGATACAAACAGAGATAGTCTCCCAAGTCCAGATCACATTATGTTTTCAGAAAAGATTAATAGTTGTTCTGAAACAAACAAAATATTTTTGTATTTTAAAAATACAGGAGAAAATAAAGAACCATTTTTCTGAACTGAAAAAGAGGCAGAAATCATACCTTTCCAAAGAATGGGTTTGCCATTCTTGCAACAATAGGTCTAGAAATTCAAAAGAACGCCTAGAAAATATAAGATTTAAAGTCAATTCTAAATTTATTTGAATTAGTTACAAAAGGTAAAGATTTTAACATATTAAAAGATTTTAATTACTAGAAGTCTGGAAATTTGACAAACAAACAATTATACTGAATTTAGAAGGAGGCATTCTATCCCTTAGTGTTAACCCTGGTTAGTCATTATACATTTCTTTGAAGTAGATCTGGATGATCCATACAACTCAATATGTAATCATTATTTTTTTATTAGGAACAGCAAAGATGTGTCATGTAACATTGCTCTTTAGAACCACATCACTTAGCAATGGAAATTCTGGTCCCAATTACTGTTGTAACTTGATAACTAACTGTCAGCAAAGTCCTATATCCGAATTCAGAAAAATATCCCTCCTAGATGTAACTATATTTTATGGCAAAAGTCATTCTTAATATTGATTTCCATTTATTAAATTTTGAAATGTATGCTTATTAATTTTCTTTAAAATGCACCATGTTAGATTATAGGGAGGAAAAATTGACAATTCTTGCCTAAAAATGTAACATTTTGAAAGCAAACTGTATGTACAAACATAATTCAAGGTCATCAGTTTTTTTGCTAGACCAATAATTTTTAGTGTTTTAAGATTTATAGGGTGCTCTTATCCATGTTTTCTCATGTGATGTCCTGCTAACATTGTGAGACTTAACCATGAGTAAGTGCTTACCAGATTATAGTTTTGATACTGATAGGTTTCATGTTTCACTGCTACAAAAATTAAAATCGTATGAGAGATTTTTTAAAAAAATTTGATTTATATGCCGCCCTTCTCCGGAGACTCAGGGCAACTTACAATGTGCTCAGCAATAGCCTTCATCTTTTTGTATATTTATACAAAGTCAGCTTATTGCCCCCACAACTGGGTCCTCAATTTACCTATCTTAGAAAGGATGGAAGGCTGAGTCAACCTTGAGCCTTGGCGAGATTCGAACCTGCAATAATTGCAGGCAGCTGGTCTTAATAACCAGCTTAATAACAGGGTGCCTTAGACCACTGTACTACCAAGATATTCATATTTTTCTAATATTGGTTAATGTAACATTCAAAAGTTAAAATTCAAAAGCCTCACCTCCTTACTGCCACAGATTTTGAGGTACAGTTGCTGGTTATTAAAGGTATGAGCCTTGGCACATGTGTATGCTGAAAAGAAAAAATATATATCCTGAAATCTATGAATGGATTCAACAGAAACAATGTTAATCAATTAATCTCTGCACAATATACCCATTTCTGAGGGTCTAACAAACAAATGAAGGAATAAAACACAAAATAATAAAGACTCTTGTTTTACTTAATTTGCAGTTTAGTTAGAATATGTTTTTACAGGTTTTAAGGCTTGGATAGATACATTTCAATCTGTTTTAATTCAGATATTAAAAACAGCTCTTTAAATGTTTATATTTAAAAGTATATACAATCCTCTCTCAAAGAAGGACTTCAAATGAGCATAAATCCAATTTTTAATCCAAATAAAATAAATTAATAAACCAGTTTCAGATGGTAGTATTTAAATTACATACATATAAAAATATTATTATATTACATTTGTACCACATTCGATGTATATAAATAGAGGGCAATCTGACTGAAATATTGCAGAACATTAAGAATAAAAAATCCCATCTTTTTTATATTTATTGCTTGACGTAATTAGCAAATGTTTTTCAAATGCAACATTTGTAACATCTCAACACCCATTCTAGTAGTTTTCAGAACTAGCAGAACTCCTATTAATATTTAGGCAACATTTTTCTCTTATAATTAGTTTTCTATAAAGTAAAACATATATGATGAATAAAGATATATAAACTATACTGACTGGTACAACTATGTTATTAAAAAAGCTGAAAATATTCTAGCCCTTCCTAACCACGTTCTACTACTCAAGATAATGCCAGATGCATCTGGAGGAACAACATCACAATTGCTTCTCAGCACACAGCACAGAGCTTTTAAAATAAGCAAATAAAAGTACAATACACAACATAAATGATCAATTATACATTTCTAGACTTTTATCATTGCTATTTCTGTCAGCTAATTAATGGATTCAACAAATGCTGAAGGCTAAACAAATGGTATCTTTAACTTTAATCAATATACATTTTCGTTCCAATTAGAGTACACCATTAGATCATACCAGGGGATTTATAAAGGCTATCAACACTGTTCAGCCTAACTCTGCAATTCAGCTATAGGATATGAAATCCATAACCTTTCCATCATGTGGTATGCATGCCAATCACCTATTTATAACAGCATTCTGCTCTTCAGCTTTTATAGTCAATAGTTTCTCAGAAGGAAATACACATGAAGAAGGTTAGTACATTTTAAATCTAAGTACCAATCTAAGTCTAAATACTAGACTTAATCCTAATTACTAGCCTAAGACTCTAATTATAGCTGGTGACAATGAATTCCACATTTAATGTACCTGTGAAATAGCACTTCCTATACCTATTCAAAATTTACTGCTGCTTATTTCTATTGGATAAATGTTTCCTTAAGCAGAAACAGACAATTCAACAGATTATTGAATCTTATCAGCAGATTAGAGGGGATTGTGACTCCATGTATACCTTTATTGACATCACACTTAATGTAAACTACAGGTAATCCTGAACCTACGACCATTTGTAGCAGCAATTGTTCCACATTATAACAATACTGAATATATGGTTGTTACCATAGTCTCTAGTGTTCTGTCCTAGCATCCCTCAGTCATGGGATGTGATTGTAATCTGGGCTTGGCAACCTGTTTGCATTTACACCTGGTGGACAAATGTCCTGTGATTATATAATCACCACTTACAACCTACAACATACTGATTCCTCTAGAAATTCAATCGGGAAGCTGGCAGAGAAGGTTGCAAGTCACTGGGATAAGTCTACCTCACTTGCACACCTCTCCCAACCCCTTAGTGCTTGCATCAACCACATGTATTTCCTTGCACTGTCTCCAACCCACGTGGTACCTTTTGCACATCTTCCAGGATCCTCCGTGATCTACATGGTCTCTTGCATACTATACCCAACTTACATCATGCCCCTTACACATTTCTGGGCAGCCTCCCAAACTATGGCTCTCATATATGCACCTTTATTTATTTATTTTATTATTCATATTTCTATGCTGCCCACTCTCCAAGGACTCTGGGCGGCTTATACCAAAGACAGTATACTAAATAGCATATTGCTCCCAACAATCTCGGTCCTCATTTTACCCACCTTAGAAGGATGGAAGGCTGAGTCAACCTTGAGCCGGTGAGATTTGATCCGCTGATCTGCTGAACTAGCAGTCAGCTGAAGTAGCTGCAGTACTGCATCCTAACCACTGCACCACCTCGGCTCCTATTTCTCCAACTCATGCTGCACCATTTGCACCATTTTGCTGACCAGCAGCAGCCATCCCAAGCCCCACTGCACTTATACTGAATCTTCCTGTCCACCTGTGCACTCCCTTGTCCCTCTCCCATCTGGTAGCAGGTTCTCACTTACCGTATTTTCTGGCATATAAGACCGACTTTTTAACACATGAAAATCTTCTCAAAAGTCGGGGGTCATCTTATACGCCAGGTGTCGTTCTCCTGTAACCAGGCAGACCAGCCCGAAAGGCTCTGACGAGCCTTAAATGGCTCTGGAGATCTAAGCTCTGACGATCCCAGCTTTGCCTGCTAATCAGGCAACTCAGCTAGGATCGCCAGAGCCATGTAAAAGGAAAAAAATATTTCCTTTTACATGGCTCTGGCGATCCAAGCTCTGACGATCCCAGCTGAGTTGCCTGCTAATCAGGCAACGCAGCTGGGATCGCCAAAACCATGTAAAAGGAAAAAAGTTTTCCCCCTCCAGCTTGCTTACCTTAGCTGCTAGTCGCAATGCTTGCCTTGCTTCGCTTGCCTGAATTCATTCCATCAGCAAGCCACTCCCTGCCTGCAATCAAGCAGGCAGGGAGTTGTGGACTTCAACTCCCAGAATTCCTCAGCCAGCAAAACAAAGCTGGCTGAGGAATTCTGGGAGTTGAAGTCTACAAGTCTTTTTTTTTTTAATTGAAAAGTTTTACAAAAAAGAAAGAATTCCCCCCCTATTCCCCCCCCTTTGCCCCCCTTCATCCCACCCTCCCCCCCAGACTTCCCAGAGCAAAATACAAGGTATTTCATTTAGTCAAACATAAACTAGATTAATCTACTTATCCTCACTGCCTCCCCCACTGAAATCTTAACTCTACTACCGATAACCAAATACTTCTAATACTAACAGTCATTCATAAGCTATTTGATATTTTCTTGTCTGATACTTATTTTGAATATAATCAATCCATCTTCTCCATTTTGATACGTATCTTTCTTGTGTGTGGTCCTTCAAGTACGCCGAGATTTTCGCCATTTCTGCTAGGATTGTTACTTTCAATGTCCACTCTTCAATAGTAGGCAAAGAGTCTTTCTTCCAATATTGAGCTACCAGCAGCCTAGCTGCTGATATTAAGTTCAAAATCAATTTAGTCTCTGAAACTGTACAGTCTGTAGTTATATCCAATAGAAACAATTGAGGAGTAAATTTCAACCTTCTTTTCAAAATGTTCTACATCACCCACCAAATTTTTATCCAAAATGCCTTGATTTTCTTGCAAGTCCACCATATATGATAATAGGTTGCATCATTACATTCACATCTCCAACATTTAGCTTGCAAATTCAAGTACATACATGATAATTTCTTAGGATCTAAGTGCCATCTATGAAACATTTTATAAAAAATCTCTCTCAAATTTTGTGCTTGCGTAAATTTAACATTTTTGACCCAAATCTTTTCCCACGTTTCCATCATCACTGGTTTCTGAAAGTTTTGTGTAAGTCTACAAGTCTTAAAGTTGCCAAGGTTGGAGACCCCTGCTCTATTGGGTAAGCGTTTTTCCCCTTTGGGAGCTTTAAAAAAAATAGTTAATTGGGTTTTTTTTTTATTTAGTTTAATATTTATTATTATTATTTATTATTATTTAGATTTCTATACCGCCCTACTCCCGAAGGACTCAGGGCGGTGCACAGCCAAACAATAAAAACACATACATACAAAATTTAAAAATAGAATAAAATCAAATTAAATAATTTTGGCCCCGACAAATTTAAAACCCCAAACTTTTAAAACCAATTTAAAATTGAATATATGAAATACTAAAAGATATTTAAAATTTTAAAAATCTTTTATAAAAGAGGGGGAAAATTAGGCCAGGCCGGCCTGTTGAAATAGTAAGGTCTTTAAGGCGCGGCGGAAGGTGCGCAGATCCGGGATCCTCCGTATCTCTGGGGAGAGCTCGTTCCAGATAGTAGGTGCCCCCACAGAGAAGGCTCTCCCCCTGGGGGCCGCCAGTCGGCATTGTTTGGCTGACGGCACCCGGAGGAGCCCCTCTCTATGGGAGCGTACCGGCCGGTGGGAGGCTATTGGTGGTAGTAGGCGGTCCCGCAAGTACCCAGGTCCTAAGCCATGGAGCGCTTTAAAGGTGGTAACCAGAACCTTGAAGCGCACCTGGAAGACCACCGGGAGCCAGTGCAGCTCGCGCAGGAGGGGTGTTACATGGGAACGCCATGTCGCTCCCATTACAACCCACGCGGCCGCACTCTGCGCCAGTTGGAGCCTCCGGGTGCTCCTCAAGGGGAGCCCCATGTAGAGAGCATTGCAATAGTCCAGGCGGGAGGTGACAAGGGCATGAGTGACCGTGCGTAACGAGTCCTGATCCAGAAAGGGACGCAACTGGCGAATCAGGCGAACCTGATGAAAAATCCTCCCGGTCACGGCCGTCAAGTGCTCTTCTAAAGACAGCCGTGAATCCAGGAGGACGCCCAAGTTGCGAGCCCTCTCCGTGGGGGCCAATGATTCGCCCCCAATAGTCAGTGATGGCGTCAACTGACTATATCGGGACATCGGAAACCACAGCCACTCGGTCTTGGATGGGTTAAGCCTGAGCCTGTTCCTCCCCATCAAGATCCGTACGGCCTCCAGGCACCGGGACATCACTTCAAGGGCATCGTTGGGGTGATCCGGGGTGGAGATGTATAGCTGGGTGTCATCAGCGTACAGATGGTACTCCACCCCGAAACCACGGATGATCTCGCCCAGCGGCTTCACATAAATGTTGAACAGGAGAG